TTCCCACAGGCAGACTGGGTCTGAATAATTACATGGGCTTGGGAGATTGTCAGAGCCACTGCTGATGGTTCTGTCATTGGAGAGGGAGAGAGACACCTTGGAAATGCTGCTGGTGTGCACAGAGATACTGAAATGCTGCACACATCACTGTGTGCAGGGGAAAATGCCTGCACCTGGGCCAGGTGTGTACCTGCCAGAGAGCAGGCAGGAGCTTCCAGGACACACACACACCACATCTTCTCCCTGGAAGAGGTTTAATTGAGGATGGCCTTGACAGAGAACTCTCACCAGCTTTGTGTGACAGACAATAAATGTTTTCATTTTCAAATGTTATAAAAGAAAACTCTAGTGATCCAAGCAGAGAAGAATGTGAGGAGCAGTACTGGCTCAGAGCACACCCAGGTGCAGTGACTGTGCTGATTTGCCTCGTTCCTGGCTGCAGCTGTGGGCAATGGAGAAGGGATAACCCCCTCCCCTGGCCAGCACGCAGCTGGAAGTCATGAGAGACCAAGCACAGGAACAGACACTGAGAGGAAGCAATGGAGCTCTGAGAGCCAAGAGAAAGCCTGGGCTGCCTGTTCAGGTGAATAACAAATGTAAATGTACTCTAGTTCTACATTCCCAGAATATTGCTAGCATGGCACAATTCAGAGAAGCCCTTCTCCCCAAAACCATCCAGAAAACACGTGCCCTTTGTGGCATGCCACCCATCACACAAACCCATTTTCTCCTCTTGGCTGAAAAATGACAGTTCCTTGGATCTCTAGCCAGGCCTGCCTGACCTCATGCAGAACCTGCCAGGTCTGGCTGCAAACCCCAGCTGAACGGTGCCATAATTTGTGATGCATGCCAGGGAATGGGAAACTAATCCAAGGCACACCTGCAAGTGCTATCCACCACCTAGCAAACTGCAGGGCTGGGGGAGCAGGTGTATTTTTTAAAACCTTTCCTGCCACCACGATCTTGTTCCTTGCCTAAGCCTGGCATCTGTGTTCCCTTCCTGGCCACCCCACAGAGATCTCACGCTTTCCCCATGCTTGGTTTGCTTTCTTGTAAAGGTTCCAAACAGCTGAACCTGTAAAAGTGGTGAAACTGAAATTTATTTGCTACATTTAATTTTCAATATAAGATATGCAAGAGGCTTTAAAGAGCTAAAAGCCTGCTCTTTTGATACTGAATCGAGGGGGGGGAAGCATAGAAAGGCTAATACAAGGTGGCACAATTACTGTCTATTGATGCAACTGCTGTGGAACCACGATTCATCATGTATTATTGATAATTGCAGCATAATGTACCGAGGGGTTTGCAGGGTGTTTAACAGAATGCAAGATATTCAGATTACAAATGAACCCAGTTGCAAGAGAATGCTCTTAACTGTATCAAGCATGATGTCTTCTCTCTCAGTTAATTCTTATTAAGTAAAATTAGCAAAATGCAGTCGAAGTCCTGCTGTCAGGTCAGGACAGATGAAACCTCAAGGATTTGATCCTTTCTGACATAAGCAGTACCACCTCAGAGCCAGCAGCCTCACAGCCAGCATCAGTGCAAATCACAGCTGCAGTGGAAATCCCGAGGTGAGGAAAGGGAGGCAGGCACCTTGCTGCAGACCTGCCTCTGGCATGTTTTCGCTGGCTCTGGAAAAAGTAGATCAGAGTAATTTAAGGCTCTCAGCTTGCACCTAATAAACAAAACCTCACAAGGCTGTCAGAGGCAAGGGGAGGAAGGTGAACAGGGGTCTGCCACCCTGGCAAAAGGGATGCATGCAGGGCATAGAACAAGCTGCAGAAATGTGTAGTGGGACAAACACAGAGGCTGAAGTCAGAAACACCTCCTGGGCCAACACCTGCTTCCCTGCTGGGAAGAGGACTCCAAGGAAGCCCTCAGCCTGTTTCCATGTGGAGACTGGAGTGGCACAGCCTCCTGGCAGCACCCAGGAGAGTAAGGTTAAGGACAGCTATGGCAGCAGGGACGAGAGCTGTTCCTGCATTCCTAGGCAGAGCCTGGCAGGTGCAGCAACACCCAAGGCACTCCAGCATCCTCCCATCCCAGCCTCGCCCAGCACGCCCATCCTGCACGTTTTTCATGCACCTCTTATGGTTGTGCCTGGGTTCAGAGCTCCCCACGCAGGGGAGCACATTACAGAAACACTACACGGGGAAATCGGCTCCTCACCGAGCCCGAAACTGACTGAAAAGGACCTAAAATAAACTCCAGGCTTAGACACAGAAGCCATACAGGCACCCAGGGCAGCTGAGGCTCTGGAGCTGTTTGGATACACCAAACAGTCTCTGATCTCCCTGCCAGCTATTATTGCCATTTTACGGACAGAGAAACATCTGAGGTAAAGAGAGCGCCTACAGTGCTGCTCACTTCCGAGCACGCCAACCACGATGGCTTTGGGGAATTCAGACTGAGCTCTTTCTCAATTATTCCTTCCATAGCCAAGTGGCTCTGCAACGCTAAATGGCTCCTGTCACTGAAGGAAGCAGATGTGATGCTGAATACACATGAGGAGACAATCTACTCATCATGGCATGGTGAGTTTTTGTAATTTCTCAGTGTAAGTGCACTTTAACTGAGTTGACATTCTCCAGGACCTTGGCCACTGATGGAAAATAATACTTCAATGGCCCTTTTAATTGTTCTTGTTCCCCAATACAGCTCTTAAGAGTTACAAAAAGCATTTTCAAGAACCCTCTGAGGATTCTCAAGTCGCTATTACAGCAGTGCATTTATGCAAGGTATCTCCCAATGCTGTTTAATTACATCTCTGACCTCTATACAATTTCCCATTATAGACCTCATTCTTACCCCTTTTAAGTCCAACTCAACTCATTCCACAGGAGCAGGATACAAAGAGATCCTTAGCTCTGAAATTTGCATTAGGAAATGAGGAGCAAGAAGGGAGCACGCTTCACCACGGCTTTCAGAAGATTAAACAAGGCAATGAAGTGTGTGACTTCCTTTAAAATCTTCCATTTAAAGTCCTGGTTTCATGAGGCAAAGGTATCTTAACTTTTCCTTAGCCATAAAGGAGGAATTGAGAAGGAAGTCTGTACTTCTTGCAAATGCTATAAGTATTTTAAAATCTTATAATTGCCACAAAGAAACAAAGGGTTGGATGGGATCTCAAGTGGTCTTTCCAAGAGGGAAGCAGCTCCATGTAATGCTTAAGAGACACCAGTCTAATCCTTCCCTGAAGGACCATGACTCCTCACCCTCTCAATTACTCTGTTCCCCTGCTGCACTTCTCTTTCTAGTTATGATATTTTCCCACATCCAAACCTAAACTCTCCTTGTCACAGGTAAGAGACACCTGGTTATCTGCCATGTCTGTGCAGAGGAGGACTCGAACACAGCTGCTCTGCAAGGCTACCTTATAGTTTGCACAGCTCATCATCCCTTCCTCCTTCCTTTCTCCCTCCCTCCATCTTTTACAGACCAAACAGCCCTTTCTTTTGCACCCCTTTATAAAGCATATTTTTCTAAGCTGATCTCCTTCCCAATTCTCCTACAGCTCTACAAAATGCAACAGTCAAAGCTCAGCCCATCAGCCTGGTTTCCTCATCACAGAGCTGAAGAGACTAATTAAATTGCACACTTGCCATGCTCCTGGTAACGCATCCCAAAGCGAGAGCTGGGGTTCTGGGTTTGGCTTTTCTGGCACAGACCTCCCGCTGCTGACGCACAGGCAGTTTGTGATCCATCCTAATCCCCACATCCCTCTCTGCAATCGCTTCTCCAGGGGTTCCCAGTTTGACCTCCCTATCCCAGGACCATTCCCAGATGATTTTGGCTAACATCTCCAGTTTATAAGCACCACTTTGAGCTCTGATCCCGTACTCCAGAGCGCTCATAAGCTTTTCTATCTTGATGGTGGCCACAAATAACCGAGACCAGGGAAATGTTGGGAAGAATCTAGGTCGTAACTTGAGGGCCTTTGTGTTATCAATGAAACACCCGTGAGACATCCCTGTCCCTGTGCAACAGGTGCCTGTGGCACTTCTCATACAGCTACTCAGGGAACAGACAGAAGAAAACCTTTTGTCCTGAACTGTTTTCAAATGAATCCCAAGTCAAGGCAAAATTTCTGAAATGCATATTTAATTGATATAGAAGCTTGCATCCAAACCAAAGCTGACTTTTGAGGCAGCCCCTTTTTCCCTGTGAAACAAAATTTGCAAAAAGTGCGTGTGAAGGAGAATCTGTGAAGGTGACGAAATTGAAAGGAGAGATGGCAATGGATTTAAAAGGAGAATGTGATGTGAGGGATGCTACCAAGTAACCCTCACATAAGGGTCCAGTGTTAACCTTGATCATCCAAGCTTTAAGATCTCCAGAACACCAACACAACCCCAGTACACTGCTCCATCACCATTTCCTGACCTCGCATCAACACACTGCTGGGAAAGCCTGCTCTTCAAGGCTCTACATGATTAATTATTCATCAAACTATGTTTGGACATCCACAGTTCAATCTCAGCCTCCATGATTAGATACATCAGGATCTTGAATACCGATATTAAAGTCGTTGGGCGCCTTTTCACTAGAGTTGGCTCAATACTGGATTTTGAAGCTATCTGCTATATATAGCCTAAAGCAGTTACCTCTCTGCTCAAAGAGGTTTATGCCTGTAAAAAGAAAACCATTAGCACCGAGAATGAAGTGGCGGGTGCGAAGGACAGCGGTGCCCAGCCAATGCACAGCCCACCCTCCGGCCGGCTCACGGGGGTGAGGGGCACTGGGACTCCAGGCCTCGAGAGAACTCTCCGGGCATCGCCGCTGCCGCCCCTACGGGAGCAGCGCCCGAGGAAAGGATCCCACTGGGGCACGGACAGCTCCGGGAGCGGGCTGCTCCCGGCCACGGGACGGGACGGGACGGGACGGGACGGGACGGGACGGGACGGGACGGGCGGTGAAACAGCGCGCTTCATGACTGACAGGACATTGGGGACGGCCGGGATCGTGCCCCCCACCCGCTCCCTCGCCCCCTCACTCACAGTGGCACCATCCCAGGTGGCAGCACCAGTGCAGGCGGAAGCAGCGGCCGTGGCTGTGGGTGGCGCAGAGCGAGAGCCCGTCGCAGGGCTGGAAGTCGGGTCTGCCCGCGCAGCTGCGGGCGAGCGCCTGAGCCTCGTCCAGCTTCTCGCTCTTCGCCGCCGCCGCCCCGCTCATGGCGCCGCCGCTCCGCCCGCAGCCCCCGCGCCGCAGCGGCCAGAGGAGGAGGAGGAGGAGGAGAAGGAGGAGGAGGAGGTGGTTGAGGACGAGGAGGAGGAGAAGGAGGAGGAGAAGGCGCCGAGCCGCAGCGGGGACCGCCCGCCCGCCCAGCGCCGCGGGGGCAGCGCCGCGGCGCCCCGCCCCGGTCCCGCAGCACCGCCCGCGGTACCCCCATGGCTGCAGCATCGGGGGCGCTGTCCCCCGATGGCCATACCTTCCCATGGCTCTGTCCCTCGATGGCCGTGCCCCACGATGGCAGTGCCCTGCGCTGACCGTGGCCCCTCATAGCTGTGTCTATGGCCGTAGATGGTCGTGCCCTCGATGGAGATGTGCCCTGGCGGCCGTGTCCCGCCATCCCCCCGACGGCCATCCCCCTCGATGGCTGTGTCCCCCGTGGCTGTGTCCCCCGGCTGGGGTGAGCTGTGGGCCGCTGTGACATTTCACTGTTCCCCAAGGCGCTTGCGGAGGCCGGAGCGCACGGGCGGGAGCGGCCACCAGCCCCGGGCGAGCCAGCCCGGCTCTCGGCAGGGCTGCGGGCCGGCTGCCAGCCTCCCCCCAGCACTCCCCCGGCCGTGTGGAGCTCCTCTCCAGACACCACCGGGCTTGATGAATGGGATCCGGACACCCTGGCACCGCACAGCAGCCTCCAGGGAGTGTGGGCAGCCGGCAAGCAGCCTCGATTACGAGCGATCTGAGGCGCTCCACGAGTGCAGCTCTTTGCTAGTCTGTGAGACAGGTGGACACAGATCAATCACCCCTGCAGTGCCAGAGCCAATGGAGCAGGACACTGAGCTGCTTGCAAAGTGGCCCGCAGCACAGGCAGGTTTCAGTTGGGTTTTTTTTTATCATGCTACTTAATCTAATTCAGAAACCCATTTCTTTCTAAGCACGCAGTGATGAAAAAAAAAAAAACCCTGAAAAACTTTGTCTTTCATTTTGTAAAATAATCAGTAGATCTAATTTTGGTTAATAAACATATGAAAGTGTATTGGTATTTTCCAACAATCATACCTTTAGGTCAAAATTAAAGTTAGATTTATCTTGAGCCATGGCTACATTATTTGTTTCCAACGTGTGGTGGTGGACTTGTTTCCCTGCTATATTTGAAAGAAAATTGCAATTTTATTGCTGCTCTGCTCAGCACTGGGAGTTGAAGTCAGCTCTCTGTTAGAACAGAAATCAAATGGTCGTTTTCATCGTCCCTTATCTTTGTACAATACCCAATAGCTCTATGTCAGAAACAGTCAAAACATACTTATTTTTCTGTTTTCTCCAGAACATTCCCAGACAGTTCATATGGGGTCTCTCCTTGGATAGATCCCAGAGGTGTTCCTGTCCTGTACACCCTCCTGAAGGTGTGCTGAGAGAACCGTTTGTTTCTTGCCAATAAGGGCTTAAGAACAGCCAAGTTGCTGGTGTGTGGTTGTGATCAGCTCCACACTTTATGGGTCACACCAAGGGATATGGGTCATAACTGCAGAGCACAGAGCTGCACTGAGGCTTTGAACCACCTCTGACCGTGACCCCTGGCCTGCAGTGCAGACCTGGTCTCTGCAGTGCCACTGGTCCTTCCTGCTCATCCACGGTCACCTCAGTGCCACATGACTGTGTCCCAGCTGTGCCCTCACTTCCTCGGCTCTGGAATGGCTACACCATTAAACTCAGCCTATCTGGGAGGAGATGTGTGCCCAGTTGCACTGAGCAGGGGCTTCGAGCCTCCCTTGGCATGGGTCACCAGGAGTGGGAGACCTTCACAGGCCGGTACATTTTAAATGTCTCCAGCATTTATTACACTGGAAAGAGAGTATTCTGACACTCCCAGAGGCTTATCTGCCTTTGTTTTGCTGAAATCCCACTGAAATCTGCAAACATTTAGGACCTTGCTCAGCTGTTTGCAAGCAGAGGAGAAACTGATTGCGAATCCAGGTGTTTCTTTGACACTGTCCTGATGTCCCCCTCTTCCCTGGAGCCCACTAGCAGCAAACAAGGGATGCAGCTCAGCTCCCATGAGAGCCCCGGCTCAAGGAAAACTGACACTTCTATCTGCTGGCACAAAGTCCTTCCTCTCCAGTACTCTCACCTCCAGAAGTGCTCTCAGACCAGCCTGGCCCATCAGATCACTTTCTGTTCAAAAGAAATAAAGAAGGAAGGTAAAGTGTGGATTACAGAAAGAGGAGTAGGTGTTTCTGGCAAGACCTAAGTGCCCCATCCAATTTGGGCATGCACTGCAGGACAGCACTTCTGAGCAGCCTAAGGCAGGGAGCTCTCTGCCTCCCTTTGAAGGGCCGGTGCTGCAGGGCACTCTGATCAAAGCTCAGGCAATCCTCCCCTTTGGTGCACTCCCGTTCGCTGCTGTTTTGCACAATGCCTGTGGCTGAACAGTTAATGGAGGCATCTGCTGCACTGGCAGAGTTCACTGCCTTAATTAAAGATATCTAACAATCCTGCAGCTGCATGAGAGAAGCCACTGGTGCTCACAGGGCCGACACCGATTCTCCTCGGAATGAAAGCGAGCACCCTGCTGTGCAGAAAGCACAGACATGGAGCCAGACACCACATGAAAGCAAAAGCAGGGCCCAAAGATTAAGGATGGACTGGAGCCAGCTCACATTGTGTGTCACCACAGCCTCACTCTGCCAGAGAACTGTATAACCTCAGCTCACGTCAGCTTGGAATAGTCAAACATGCAAGTGTGCAGAGCTGGGGACATTCCTCACCTCTAGGGATAGTTTTACCTGGAAAACATTTTTAATAGATATTTTCCTACTGAGTGAAAATGGTTAAGTGGTTTAAAAAGACAGGTGGGGAAACTAATCCTGTACCAAGTGGTTATTGAGTTCTCCCCTGCACAGGGCTGTGTTCTCTCCTGTTAAATGAAGAAACATTTCACTCATGGGTGTATTTCTGGCATCACTGCACATTTTAGCTGATGGGGACTGTGCAAGGCTGTTAACAATTTACCAAAGAAGCTGGTTGCTGCTTGGGCTGCTTGTCAGCAGGCACCAAGGGCTTTGGATCAGGCAGCCGTGCAGGGCTGGGGGCCAAGGAGCGGTGGTTGCCCTTCGGCTCGCTCTACCCTGCCGGGAGCGGGGCAGACCAGAGGCCAGGGCTCCCATGCACTGCCCCCGCCCTCCCGGAGCCGGGAACGCGACCTCGCGGCGGCGGCAGTGACAGCAGTGTCACCGCTGGCTGCTGCGACGTCAGGCAGGCAGAACGATCGATGCTGGGCTGCTTTGGTCGATGCGAATTGACAAATGAACTTCTGCCAGGAGAGACATCACTGGTGTGAACAACCTCTGTTCTCAGCAATTCCTGATGAGGGAAACGGACCCATCAAAGGCACCACCAGCACACAGGTGCTGCAGGTGAGGAGAAGCATTTCGGCCCTAGGGTAGAAGCTGGTGTTATCCTGGGATGACATTGCTGCTCCAGAGGAAGGGCATGTCCTCTGCTCCGCAGCCTCCTGCTGCAAGAGAATTGCCCTTTCCCAGCTAATGCCCAGCTCGGCACGAGGCACTGGAGAAGGGAGGTTGGCCTGGGCAGGGCATCTTGTCCAGAGCTGTCCAGGGGACAACAGACCAGCACAAGCAGGGCTGTTGTGTAACGTGTCAAACAGAGCCTGCTCGTATGTAAGTAGTGCTTCACCTCTGAGCCAAGCTGGATTGCTCTCAACTGTGGCACACGAGTGATTTTTGGGGCAAACTGCCCCAGTTTGCTAGGCCTAGAGTGGCTTCTTCTCCAGTCCTGGAGAAAAGTCCTCCCTGGAACCAAGCACTAGGGTTGGCTTTTAAGTCCTGATGGGTTTTCTGCCCTCAGTTTTGCTCCCTCACCATTGGTGGACAGGATTAGACAAAGGGCAAAATTAAACATATTTAGACAAAAGAGGCATGCAGACTTTTCAGACACAAACTCCTCCAGAAACAGGAAAATTATCTAATTCTACCATGTAAAGAAGGGATAGGGAAAAAAAAACAAAAACCAAGCACATTTGCTTTTCTCCACTATCTCACATGACACCATATAATCCGTCATTAGATACTCATTTTATTAAATTAAAATCAAAAGTTAAACATTTGGTGTCCCTGAGAAGGGAATACAGACCAATTTATTTCCCACACCAGACTGTAAGACACGTGAAATGGGAGACTTTGTCCCAAAGCATCAAGTCTGGAGGTAGTTTGGCTGCCTCTCACTCTGCTCAGCCCTTTGCTAGAGATCTGCCACCTCTGTGCCTGCCTGCAAGTAGAGTCCCTGCTTGCACAGCTCTTGTGCTGTGCTCTTCCCAGTGCATGCTCTGATCATGTGAAAACCTGATCAGTGCCAGGCTGTGCTTCAAGCTGGTCAGTTAGAGCCTGTTGAGCCCCAAGACCTGGTAGCTGTAGGCAAGAAACATGTGGGGAGTGATGGCAACACTTTTCCACACTGAAGAGATGCCAGAAGATGTTTCTGCTTGGACAAAGCCAGGTGGGGATAATGGCAACAGAGGATGGAGTCTGGATGCAGCAAGCCAGTCATGAGCCAACACCACAGGGCAGGTTAGTCAGGATGATGTATTTGTGGCTTTCCTGGCAGCAAGGAGAAGAGACAGTACCAGGGGACAGCAAGGGACTGCTCCTTGCTCTCTGCCCAGACCCGCTCTCTCCACTTCATTTGACTTTACCTCTGAAAGCTGCTGCACCCTCGTGCCATCTGTCCCACAGCAGCAGGAGGGGAGCAGGTTCCAGTTGGCTGGCTGCAGAAGAGTCAGGGAATTGAGGGAAAGTGGCTGCACTGGAAAGAACTGAAACAAACTGGGAAATAGGCTGAAGACAGGATTTGGTAGATCCAGCAGGTCTTGGTTGAAGTGTGATTGTAATTTTCTTGGCTTCAGGCATGATTTGCACTGTGGGCTGTAAATGCTGCTCCCTGCCTTCCCCAAAGACAAACTGGAAGAGGAGTACAGCTGTGATGACCTGCAG